AGGTTTTGGCTAACAAAGATGTCATCTTCAGCTTTGCACCTTGCCAGAAAGCCTAAAAGGTGGAGAATCAGTTATTCTGGTCGACTCACTTTAACATCTCTCTTTAAAACAGGCCTGTGAAGCATGGCAGAAAGACGCTCACGAAGCGAAAGAACAAGCAAAATCGGCAGAAGCAGAGCGTCAGCTGGCGGAGCAGAAGCGGGAGGACGCGGAGCGCAAGCTGAAGGAACTGCAGGGAGACTTTGACGCTTTGTGTCGTTCGCCCAACACACCTCTTCTGCGCAGCTACGGCGAGCTGGAGCAGCTCCCCCTGCCAAAGCTCCGCTCCATCCAGAGCCAGCTACGCTCTGACCTAGACCTCATAGAAGGGGTAAGAAGGACCAGGTCCCAACACACATACGTCACCATGTCACATTTACACACACTCTAAGTAGAGCGTCGTACTCTTCTAAGCGGCAACATGAGTCAGTCATGCATGACGCACTGCATTGAATCTGTCCAAGTGTGACTGATGTTAACTCTTCTTTTTCTTAACACAGGTAATATATCAGCTTCAGTCAAAGAAATGTATAGTTTGCCAAAAGCATGATCGTTCCATTGTCCTGCAGCCTTGCCAACATTATGTACTTTGTCAGAACTGTGCGTCTGGTAAAAAGGAATGTCCTTACTGTAAGACGAAAATATCCAAGTGGTGATGTACAGCCATCCAAGGTACTATTTAATGATTTAGCCCTTTGAAGAACTACTAAATACATATTATAATTATTATGCTTAAAAGTTTATAAATAGCATTTTTTTGTGTTTCAGTATTTCATAGTGATTGGATTGATCGATAGTTTTATTAGATTCTAATAAGTGGTGTTTGACTGATACAAAAATCAACTTTAATGCAATACCTGTTTTTGTACAAGCTAGATTGTCCATTTTCATAAAGCATTGAACAATTTCCCCCTTTGTTATTGCTTTTGGAATTTATAGTCAGTTTGGCCCTGATTTGACTGTTAGCAACAAAATCATCGGCCATTATTACTATTATTATTATTATTATTACTACTAGCTGTGTGAAGAGGATTCATTTCTTGTTAAAAGCACTTTGTTGACTTGGAAAATTGTCTGAGGGTATTTTGTTTTCTTTGTAGAAATTTTGCTTTAAGCTGCTTTGTAGTTTGTTTTTTATTTCCTTAGATTTATATATATTTTTTCCCAAATATGCTAAAGTATGAAGCTTTTGTGTGTACTGTGAAACATAATAGAATATTTCATTTTTTTCTAACTGTTAAATCATGGTATAGTGTATATATCTTGTTAGTTTTCATATAAAAAATAGTACTAAATAGTAGTTATTACTTTCATTGTTACTTCAATTTTTCAATCAAATAAGTGCAAACTTTGAATGCATTTTAGGCATAACCAGCAGCTGTAATATCAGTAAGGCACATACTGTATGCTAAGGCATTTAGTAAATCAATTTCTCTGTCTTATAGTGACTATTTAGATAGACTTTATGTAGTTGTTAGATGAGCACACGTGTTCTGTGGTCCTGTGCGACACAGAAATCGTTTCGTTTCTTTGTTTTTTGGACTTTAGCCTTGCAGATATGTTAGAACATATATCTGATTCCTGGCCACTCCCTCTTAAGTGCCTTGCCTTAAAATAAACACACATTCGAAGCATCTGTGAAGAGTTTAGGATTGTAGTGAAACAAACATAGCTTGTGCAAAGTATGTATTTTTCTGTAGTACCAAATTATTGGCCCAGTTCAGTACTAAAGTCTTCACCCTGGTCGGTGCCTGAGCTCTGAGGTTCAGTCAAAGAATCGTCGTTCCCTCTTCATTAAAGACGGTGCTTTTTGGGTGCAGCTTAGAAACGTTGAAATATCCTTAATTTGAAACTTGTAGGATGTGCAAATCAGGAAAGCGTGTGTTTCTTTGACGGCAAAAACTAAACTGGCTTAGTACATTTCTGTTTTATTGAAATGTGTAGAATTGTAGTGCTCTGTAGTGTTTACAGAAAGAAATCATTGGTGTTTTTTCGTATCCAGATTCGACAGTGTAATGTGCTTAGGTAATCTAATTGAAATGACCTGCTACTGTGTTATCTGAATCTTTTTGTTTGTTTGTCTGTTTGTTTTCGGGGGGTTTCTTTTCATATTTACAGCATTAAGTTTGTGTGGTGAATTGTCAGGTACACAAAGGTGCAAGTTTTTTTTTTTCCTTCTCTCTTTTAAAAAACCGGGATTAACAGTTTACTTCAAAAGGGATGGTTATTGAGGATCTAATTGTCAAAGCCTTCGTATTTCTTTCAGCTTGACGAGGCGGAGACAGTGTGTGTGTGTATATAAATATATTTGATTTCTCTCTGCTTTCTTGTGTTCGTATCTGAATCCACAAGGTCTGTATGTAGCTCTGATTTGTCACTGCATGTCAGTGTGTAACTTTCGTTAACCAGCTGAAGCTCTAGATCACACTGCCAAATGTATTTGTGTTGAGCAGACGTATCCAGTTGTTGGTCAAAGTATTCAAAAAAAATAATAATTCAAATGCATTGACTACGTGCTCATCTTTTTCTAGTCCGATCAGCAAAAGGCTTGTTGTTTTTTTTTCGGTTAACTTTGATAGGTTGAAGTGGATCAAAGCAGCTTTGGGTTTTGCGATGTTTCCAACACTCAAGTGTTCAAGAGCTTTTGCGAACGTGTCACTTTGTTGAGGAATTAGTTCCATTGTTTGGTTTTTGGACCATGACGTTGAGGTTTGTGTTTGACGCAACCATTTATTTCTCAAACGAAAGAGTGCGGTCGAATCAAACGAGCGTGGACTTTACTCAAATGAACCAAAGTGGTATTGTAGTTTATACTTGTTTCAAAGTTCAACAAGAAGTGTACAATTACTATGTCAGTTTATTTTTTTCTTCAATGTTTAATTTGACAGGACAACTATGCCAACTGCTTTTTGCTGACAATATTAATGGACTAAATGCCCATTTTTGTAGTTTCTACCAAAGACCTTTAATATTCTTTGTGCTCTCTTCAATTTTATAACTGCGTTTTCATTTTAACATTCTGAGGAAATAGTCAGAAAATGACCAAATCTAGTATCTTATTTACATAATACGTGCATTCAAAACAAACAAGCTCCTAACGAACCATGATTCTTGATCAACTTCATATGAAGATTGTGTTTCTCAGTGGAAAAACCGATGACATAGTATTGAATTGGCTGTAATCTACAGTGAAGGAATGTCACAGTAATGAATGAATATTTGTGTTAATATTCTTAAGTGGCCATATGAATTAGTGCTTATTTGAAGTATGTATTTTTTTCTTCTTTTTATACTAATAGTACTGAATCGTAAACAATTTGAAACATTAGTTGTTGTGCACTACTTGGGATTTCAAAGTGTATACTCAGCCTGTAAGGTGCTCTCTTTAGTTTCCATTTGACTGGTGTTTGTTTGTTCTGCATATGAATTAAGAAATCTTCTAACTTATTGTTTTTTTTTAACCTTGAAGTCTATTATTGTATTGTCAATTGTTGTCTACCATTTTGATTGTCATGTAAAATGGGTCCCTTGTTCACACTAGTTGAAATGGCTGAGACAGACAGTGGGTTACATTTACTGGAACAGTTCAAATATAGCCTTAAACATCACTTTTTCGCCTAGTTACGATTGCCTGTCATAGTAGTACGTAAAAATTGTTCAAAAGTGTAATTTAAAGAATAAAATAATGTAGCTTGCACTTAAATGTCTGATTTACAATCAGTCATTCTGCTTGAGAACATTAAGGATCAAGTCTCCTTGGAACAAATTTGTGCCTTTCATGAAGCCAGATTGAAAGTATTCTTTGAGCAAATGGGTAATTCCAGCTAACGAAATGAGCCGATTTTTAGTGCCTTGGGACGTTTTAATCTGTATTTCTCAATGCACGAGAGTCCTGTCACGGACTTGTGTATTCAAATAATATCTAAGTACTCTGCCATGCCTTTGAACATTTGACTTGGACTAATAAGCGATCCTGGAAAATGTATTAATGTTGAGAAGACAGCATGACGATGCATGTACACGGTGTCAGAGTAACAGTTGTTTTGCGATCGTATTCTCCACAAAGCGTAGCAGCTCATTTATGAAGTTTGAAATTTTTAAAAAAAATGAAACTAGACATTTAAAGTTTGTGCTTCCAGCGGAAATCGGTTTGCCTATCAGTGAACTTCTGTAGTGTAATGGCAAATCTTTTAGGACAGCATGGTTTTACAGACACAAAAGCCCTCTGTCTGCATCAGCCATTTTGATACTGTAATCTTTAACAGAATCGACCATTTAATGTTGACGTACGACCAGGCATCTGCAATTAAAGAAGCACCAAGGACTCTTGTTCAGCAATGTGTAATGTATTGGAAGTTTACCATAATGCTCTGCAGTGGAAATAATCGTTTCTTTCTTTTTGCATTCTTGTGGATTTTTCTTATGTCCATTTGTTTGTTTTTTCTAATTTTGTTCTCTATCAGTAGTGTGATTTATTGAACCTAAGGATTTATGCAATCTTGTATATACATATTACATATGAAACTGGTTAAATTTAGCAAACTAGCCAGGGGGGTCTATTACAACAGTACATTTTTGTAAGAGGCTAAAATGATAACAAATTATATATATTAAAAAAAAAATTTAAAAAAGTTTTTTTTTTTTTGTTTTTTTTTTTGTGGAACCACTGTTCCCTATAATTAATGTTACGGTTAATCGAACATTAAAATCCCTTAATATTGAATGTACCATTCAAATTAGATTTCAAATGGGTCACTGGAATAACATAGAGAACCGTTAATCTATAATGATGTAGCACTAGTTTTGTGAATCGCGATACATTACAAATAAATTTATAAGTTAAACGCAATTGCAGTTTTGGAGTTTGTGTATTTATCCGTGTAACAATTTGATGGAAATACGAGATGTATTTTTCTCAGGGTTTTACAGGAGAACTGTAGAATAGAGAGAGAGATGTCCAATTTTCAAATGAAACTGCAACTCACAGATTTATTAGCTCAATAGTCAAAACGAGGAAAACATTTATATATTACGAGGAAAGAAACATATCCCTTATTTTGGTACAGTATGCATCGATATATAGAACAGCTTATATTCTAATTAGTGTTGAAATACTATACAATTTTGCTGTCAGTATAATACTTTGTGTATGTGTTGTCAACACGAGACCTTAAAAAACATTTACTGGGAGTTCTGTGTTTAAGTTATGGAGGCTTCTTTATGGAATAGTTGTATGTTTTTTGATGGTCAGAGAGGATTTTTCTTCACTAGAATTACTTAAGATGGTATTATTTATAATGCATAATCTTTCTCTTGTAGTGTATCATTTAAAAATTGTTAACACTTGTCTACACACTACAGCAGTTATGCAATGGTTTACAGAATTCATGGAATTATTTTTGTCATCTTGGGAATTAAATAATTTTTGATCTTTAACCTGCCTTGAGTGTTTTGTCTTCTTATTTCCACCATGAAGATTGATTACAAAGTACGCTGAACCATTCTTTATTTGGTTCTTGGTGTATTTGGGTGTGTCATGACATTTTAGAACTCTAAAACGTTTTTGTGTCATTTCATTGTGTAAATACAGTTGAGTGATGAGAACTATAGAAAATGAAATGTTCACCACTGAGTACCTATTGTCAAAATCTTCTGGTTATTGTAGTGCTATGCGGTGATGGCTGTCAAGACCAAAATCGTCGAACAGGTAACACAGCAATTTCACAGCCTGCAGACACAGAAATTTAAGGGAAATCAAGACGAACTCTTTAAAAAAAAAGTTGATTAAAGTAACAAAAGTAATGGCATTAGACATATGCATATATACTGTGAATCTTGAGAGTGCTTTTTAAGAATATTCACATTGTATTTGCAATGGTGTTTAAAACAATTCCAAATGCTTTGAGACTTTATCTTTACTTGAAGGTTATGTTTGGCAGTCATCAGCATCTTAACCTCCCCCAAAAAATTGAAAGTTACATTCACATAACTTGGTGGACAGTTGAAGTCAGAATTATTAGCCTCCCTGAATTATTAGCGGCCCTGTTTATTTTTTTCCCAAATTTCTGTTTTATGGAGGGAAGATTGCTTCAGCACATTTCTAAGCATAATAGTTTTAGAAACCTATTTCTAATAACGGATTTATTTTATCTTTGCGATGATGACAGTAAATAATATTTTACTTGATCTTTTTCAAGACACTTCTGTACAGTTTAAAGTGACATTTAAAGGCTTAACTAGGTTAATAAGGTGAACTAGGCAGGTTTGGGTAATTAGGCAAGTAATTGTATAACGATGGTTTGTTCTGTAGACTATCGGGAAAAAAAAAAGCTTAAAGGGGCTAATAATTTTGTCCCAAAATTGGTTTTTAAAAAAAATAAAACTGCTTTTATTCTAGCCAAAATAAAACAAATAAGACTTCTTCCAGAAGAAAAAATATTATCAGACATACTGTGAAAATTTCTTTGCTCTGTCAAACATCATTTAGTAAATATTAAAAAAAGAAAAAAAAATCAAAAGGGGGCTAATAATTCTGACTTCAACTGTATATATAGCAAAACAGTAAAAAAAAAACTGTTAAAAGTAACATTTTGGCAGATTAGCAAATTGACAATTCCATATACCATAATAAAAAATAAAAAAAACTTAAGCAATTAATCACAAGAAGAAAATTTGACACTATCTTAATTGTCATCTACTGCTTAGACAAGACATTTTAATGCACTGAAAAGGGTTAAACAAATCTTTGTTAAAACATGAAAATCCTTAAACTAAACCAATAAGCGATGATGTTGACAGTATTGCCAATTTAGATTTGAAGCAAAGGATTAGATTAAACTAGACAAAATGATGAAGATACAATATTGTGTACTTAAAGGCCTCATAGAGGGGAAGAACTACATTCATATGAAGCATTGAGGATGACACAAAAGCTTTTCAACCAGAGAAACATTAAATGTCTGTTAAAAACATTTGAGTGACTTGATTGCTGCAATTCTTATTTGTAGAATTTTCTGAACAACAACACGGATAATTTCCTTTTTCCACACAAATTCTAGTGTAGAACTTCTTTTTTAAATACATTGAATCGATGTGAACAGAAGCATAAACAATAGAAACCTTACAACAACTCTATCTTTTAAGGTCCCATGAAATAAAAAAAAATATATATTTTTTTAGAAGTTACTATCAGTATTGTTAGTTTTTAGGGTATCTATAAGCTAGTGTGCACCAAAACAGTGACAATTTGCGATTAGAAGATCTAAAACTGATATCAACATGTAAGGCTTGTAGTTTGTCACTTCCGCCTAAATGAGTCTACAGTTTTATTCACGTCACCTCATACTTCAGTTTTTCATCACATCATAACCGATCAAACATAGGGCTCTATTTTGACGGTCCATGCGCAGGGCGCAAACGCTTTCAGGGCGTGTCAGAATGTATTTTTGATCATTCTAAACAAAATCTGCTTTGCGCCGCGGCGCATGGTCTAAAAAGGTTGAGTTTATTTTCTTAATGAGTTATAGGTGTGTTTTGAGAATAAACCAATTAGAGTCTCATCTCCCATTCCCTTTAAGAGCCAGCTGTGTCGTGCCATAAGCGCATTGCTATTAACATGACATAAAGTAAGTTCACTTTCGCTTTTGCTCTCGTGGATAGGGAAACCTTACCGCACAGACATCAATTAGCCTATTAATAATTAATTTGGTTTGTTAAGCGCAAATATTTTCAAATTCAGTTCTAATTTCCAGCAAACAAATAAATGAACATTATTAACAAAGTGTGGTCAAAATACTGAGTTATTTCCACATACACCTGCTATGCCTCATACGGTCTAAAACCTGACAGGTGGACAAATCTAAGCTTGTTTTTAATAAAACAAATATAAATATGGATATAATAAATAATACTGCTAATAATAATAACATTAAACAAAAGCCTCCCGAGATGAAGAAAGTATGACGGCAGTGGTTTTTAAATTCATGTAGGCAAGAAATTAACATGTTTTGTAATATTTTAATCATTTATATTTATATCCTATATATATATCCTTAATATATTATATCTTTTTCATATGTAAAGATATTTGCGTATTGCTCTGCATCTTGTTTGTAGTGTGTAAGCCAGGCGCACTTTGCGCCAGACAATAGACCGATTTTGTTCTGGTCTAAAGAACAGACTATTTACAGTTTCTCAAAATAGCAACGCGCCAAAACACGCCTGCTTTTTTAGACCAGAACGCCTATGGGCGCACATTTTAGCACAAATTAATTTGCTATTTAAACAGTGTGGCGCAACACCCCAAAATGACCCTTGCGCCGAGCTTTAAGTAGCAAAAGACTATTGCGCCGCGCCTTGCGCCACATTGCGCCGGGGGTATGATAGGGCCTATAGTGTCTGACATGTCCCACCCCCCTCAATATGCTTCTCATTTACTTTTCATTTGATTCCTGAGCTCAACCATTCACACTGAAAGAGCAGTGACAAAACAAAAAGCTATTGTCTGTTTTTTTTTAAAAAGGTGGAGCTACATTATGACCCACCCTGTCGTTATGTTTCTCTTGAGATTGTCATTGTTAAATAAAAGTGCTTATTTTAAAGCACTTCACAAGACCTTTAAAGGTTGACCATTTTTGTTTTTCCCTATGGAAAAACAAATATAATCTGGAACCCAATTGTACCCAAACTCTACTGGAATGAATAAAGCAACATTAAACATGACCCTACCCTAATTTTCAACATCTATTAAACCTTTACGTTCCAAAAAACAAACCTAAATTTTTTTTTTTTTTTTAGATTATGAAAAATTATTAAAAATTCAATCAAGAAAAACATTGGCTCATTTAAGGTCTGTTGACTTCAAGTTCTTTGTGACACTGTTGTGAAAACCCTCTTTTGGAAATTTTATTCTTCAAAGTGTAAGATAAAAGTTACTACACACCTCTTTTTTGAAGCGTGGGTAAAGAAGTTTTCTTGTAACTCTCCTAAAGTCAGGTCTCTCCCTACAAACTCTAGAGCAAGAGGAAGAAACTAAATGTATGACATTGTATGAAACTGCTGAAATATGTTATTTCAGCACCGCTTGTACCTCTCAAGAATGATGTCGAAGCATGTCGCAGCATTGTCGGCTTGCAAAACAATGGCAAGGCAGGGACCCTCATGTAGAAGTTCTTCCCCAGCAGAGGCCCTCAGTAACTCACACATGTGGCGTCTTTGTTTTTTATCTAGCATGCAAAGCCTTCCGGCCAGCAGATGGCAGCCTGTCCTAAACAGCCTCTGCAGCAGTTCTGAGAACAGAGGAGGCTGACTCTGCTGGAGGAGGCTGGATGGGATCAGCAGGCAGGTGGTCTGACAAAGAGCAGTGCAGACCAAAGGCCCTGCTGGCACTGAAACACAATAAACAAAAACAGTTCCCATTCTCATTACAAAGGTCAATCGCAGCTAGTAAAACATCAACAAGTTTGGGTTTATGTTTGTCAATGACTGTGTTTTCTGATGTTTTGATAGAGGGGTGAGGAAAACACATTGCCTTGACCAAATTCTGATGAAAATTTGACAGCAGTTTGGGAGGTGTGCAAATGGTCATGGTCCAAACTAGCCTCGGGATCCGACTGCAAACTTGATATCTGGAAAAAGGTGAAAGGGTTTTAATTATAACAACACTGTTGCGATATATTGTCAAAGATAAAGCAAAAGTTACAATACCTGCTCATATCTCATAAGTGAAGTTTCAGCGCAACACACACCGCTTGGAAATAGCAGCTTCATGTCTTCTATAGCATTTCGATAAGATCGAGATCCTGTATAAGAATGTTCAAATAACGGTAGTTAATGTATAGCCAGTCTTTTACAGCAGTTTACCATTTCTGTTAAGAGTCTTACCATAGATGCCATTATGGAGTCTGTCAGAGCCAAACTGGGCCCTCCATAGTGTCTGATCTACAGTACGGGCTTCAATGGGATCCTCAGGACCCATCAGTTCCCACAGCCTCATTACGGCATTCACTCTTAGCAAACCTAAAGCTAGTGAGGGCCCAGATCTCAAATATTCCAACTCCTCTGTGGGATCCTGAACAGATGAACATGAAAAATGAACAATAAACACTTTATTTTGATGGTCCATTTGAGTATTAGTAAACTGTCTGCTTAATATCTGTTGATACAGCTCCTTCAACAGACATTTAACTGACTAGTACATGTACTAGTCAACTTACACTACATGTGAACTTACACTAACTTTAACCCCAACCTAATGCTGTTTTACACCAGACACGAAATGTGCGGATAAATTGCACTATGCGCACGTAAATAGACACGTGAACATTTGAGTTTACTCGATTAATTTGTGCGTCAAATTCACTTCAGAACAGACGCGGATTCTTGTCATGGCCAGGGCTTCTGTCTGCCTGGTGACTGTAGCTTTGTTTCTAAATGGCTAACATGGATTTTATTGAAAAAAATAACTGCTTATGTGTTTTATGAAGGCTGAAAAGCAGCATCGATACGTTTGGAGCAATTTCTGAGTCCACTAGATCCTTTCAGAAACGCACCCAGCTCTGTGAGCTCATAAACTCCTCCAAAAACTTAACCTGGATGATAAGGATGATAAAGGCTTTCAGCGGTGCTTCTGACTGAGCCGGGCCCAGTTTGATGAACTGTTGTCAGTGTGTGCAGGAGGTTTTTCCCCTGGGACACCAACAACAGCCGCTACATCATAATCACGCCCCCACAAGAGCAAGCCCCTGATTGGTTAACTCAGCGTGAATGTCCGAAAGTTCAGATATTTTAACTTGAGTGATTCGCACAAAACGATTAATTCACGTCACTGAATATCTATTCGCGTTTATTCCTTGATTTAACATGTAAATCACTTGAGCTGGTGTGTGAACACAGCATAACAGTCTATTTGTAATCTAATGAGAGTTGGTTAGCATGTAGATGCAATGTAACTTAAATTCAACAATGGACCATCAAAATAAAGTGCGACTAAAATGGCTTCCAACACAAAGCCAATCTGAACTAAATCAATAATATATAGATATATTGCCTTGTAAAAAAAAAGTTCACATAATTGTGTTGAATGTGCATTTGTTGTGCATTTGAAAGTAGGGCTGCATAGAAAAATATGCAATATTATCATTGAGTATTGCGATAATATTTTTTGCAATGTAGCAATGTGTCACGCTAACAATATAGTCAAACTTCAATAGACTAACTTAAAGATTGCAGGAGTTGTAGATGTGGAACTCAATGAAAAGTACTATGGTGTATTTTTTTGCACAGGGGTCTAGAATAAAGAGATGTTTTGCAATATGCAACTTAGAAGAGAAGAATAGTTTAACCTGTTTCTCTGGTGAATGTATCAGTGCGCTTGCCATGGTTGAGTCCAGCAGAAGTACACGTAAGCCCACTAGAGTATATCCGTTCTGTTTGATTAGGGTTAGAATTTTACCAAAGCATTGTCTCCAGGCTCCAGGCTTGAACAGAGCCAGAGTCAAAAGTGGCTGTGGGCCTGAAGAGTTCAGAGGGAAGAAGCTGCAGGTAAAAACCTTGAAAGACAGCTCCGACAAGGACATGTACTGAGAGGACATCACTTACCCAGTGTCATGTAACTGTAAAGCGAATGACCTGAGGGGTTGTTGGAGATTGACAGTCAGTTTTCAGAGTGCATAGGAGTGAATATATATATATTGGCTTGGTTATGTGCATACCTGTAGTGTCAATGTGATGAGGAGGCAGGAATTTCAACAATGGACGACTGCTGTGATCTGAAGAAGGGATGGTTATATACACCACTTCTGTTCCACAATGAAATCCCAAACTGTTATCTAAAGTAAACCTCACCAGGGACCAATTCTGCCTCAGAAAAGAAGAGGCAGGTCTGTCTGAAAGCTGTCTCAGGAGTGGGGGACATCAATACACGAAGGCTTCCTGGATAATTGTGCGGTAATTGTTGGCGTAGAGTGATGAATGCCCTCACTCTTCTTAGAGCCAAGATCAGGGCAGGGGTAGATGTCAAACTTTGCACACTGTTTTGCCACTCTCTGTCCCCAATCTCAAAAGGATTCAACTCTTGTGCCTGTCGCTGGGACAGCTGGGACACCCACTTCAGTGCCAGCAACTCAAATTCCTCTTGTCCTATTTGTGCAAGATAAGGTAAATTCAGTAGACAGACACTGAAACTTACTAACAGTGATTTACTCAAGGTGCATAGATACTCATTTGAAATGATAGCTTAGCTAAAATCTAACAACCTGGATTTTCTATTTGTCCTTAAGAGCTTGATAAACTGGTTCAGATTAGCTTAATTAGTACTGGAGCTAAACTCAGGATTGGACCTGTTTAAGTAGATATTGTTTACCTGCTGGATCTCTTAGAACTTTATGAAGAAACTTTATTTCATTCTCCATAATGTTTTGACCAGTCAGTGTGAGAATCACCACCTGCTCTGCATCTGGACAAGAGGGATACGCATACTTGGACAGGACCATGTGGCTAGACTCTGGAACTGTCCACATGTGGCCACCTGTAAGACATCTTTGAAATGTCAAAACTACTGTTGGCTCCTAGGTGGACAGATAATCAATATGAAAGGTTTTGTGCGTACCCAGAACGTTATGATGGTTTTTAGAGTAAGGTATGGTGTAAAAGCAGACTTCTGGACCAACAACATCTGTGAATCTTGCCTGGATTGATCCAATAAGGCCTTCTACGACAAGCTCGTTCATCAGACCTTCATAAAATGAAATACATGATTTGACTCAGAGAACCTCTGTGCAGCTAAAGAGTGACTGACACAATTGGCCTGTTTCCACTGATTTGTACGGTACAATATGCTTTTTTGGCCGTTTCCACTGTCAAAAGGTACCTAAAATGGCCCGTTTCCACTGACTTGTACAGTAAGGGTTGGTACGGGTCACCCTTATCAGGCTAGCATCTCCACTGCTTAAAGGGTACCAAGGGAAAGAAAGTTTCAGTCGATGTCATATTCTTGCTTGAGGAAATGTCAAAGAATCATTCGCTCTTTCAGTTTTTCAGGCTTCTCCTTTGTTTTTTTCACGCTTCACTCTCGTGTTTGACTGTTTACAAAAGAATCGGATGTCAGAAGCGCTTCAAAAATCTTGTGCACGTTATTATCATCAGCTCAAGAAGTTCATTATTTTAAATAATAATAATGGAGAAAGTGAAACTGCTTGCACTTTTAGACGGCCTCGTAAAACAAAAACAGGACAAGGCATATTTTGTTCCTCTTGGCCTTCGTGGCTGTACATCAAGACAACAACAAGGTTTGTCTGAGCTCGGGTCAACCATGGCTTGTTATATGCATTTAGACTTACAAAATAATGTCTCTGCTGTGTATTTAAAAATTGTGGTTTCTTTGTTTTCATTCTTCTGCTTCTCTGTAAACCAATAGCGTTCAGCTGCGCGTCTAGCTCCTTTCGAAAGGGTACCAAGCACATCAAAATGGTACCAAAAGGCAGAGGAGAATGCTATTTATTTAAAGATAAATGTCACCAGTGCGTGTAGGAGTATGAAAACAAGGAAGAGCCATTTTTAAATACAAAGCCAAGACATTTCACCATCATAATATATACATATAATAACAAACCATGGTCAACCCGAGCTTAAACAAACTTTGGTGTCATCTTGATGACAGCCACAAAGCCAAAAAGATAAACCTGTAGTCCTGTTGTTTTACGAGGCTGTCTAGAGCACAAACGGTTTCACTTTCTCCAGAGCTCACAATCACTCGCTGCGCTTCAATATTTAAAATAACGAACTGCTTGAGCTGATGATAATAATCTGCGCATGATTATTTAAGTGCTACAGACATCTAAATCTTTCAGAGACGGACAAACTTGAGAAAGAAGCGTGGGAAAACAAAGGAGAAGCCTTAAACAACAAAGGAGCAAATGATTCTTTTAGCCTCCTAAAACATGAACAAACTGCCATGTTTACCTATTATCATCGCCTTTTAGACTATTATGAACTCGGAATGATGCGTACCGTACCGTACCGTATCACTCTGTGGAAATGGGCCAAATGTGTTCTCTCTGAACACTCTACCTATTGGAAGTCTGGAAGAGTATCTAACTGTGCTTTCTCTTCTCATGAGCAGCACCAGGCAATGAGAGGACAGCTCAACCTGTTCTCCATCCAGAGACACTGTGGGAGCATGACAAAACGCTGCAACCTAATAGAGACAGACAGCATTTCCAGACAAATACAATCAGCATCAGTGTCATGGTAGTGTCCTACTATCAGCTTCAATATATCTCTGCACTTGTACATGCTCACTGTTGGGTTTATTTACCTGCCTAGTGGTGAGACCCAAAGATTGAGCTTGTTTCCTGGAGAGCTGCACTCTCTGAAGTCCCAACAGACTGAAGCCTGTTTTTGCGCATGCAGATAGTATATAGCTGTAACAGCATGGTCCAACCACAGGAGACACAAGGAGAAATAAATCCCCTGTATAGGGACGAAAGGAAAGGGGAAGGAAGGTTTACTTTTTAAACAGCATTATAATGATGTTTTTATTTTCTAGTCACCTTTCACTGTGGCGCATAGACTTGCTGTAGAAGAGGTCTGAATATGAGAAACTCTGTCTTCTGTTTCACCAGAGTTTTGAATCCTATAGTAGGGATAAGAGCCGGCTAGTTCAAAGGAACAGTTCATCAAAAATAAAATATAGCCAAAGAAGATTTTGAGGAAACTTTTATCCATTTTTCTTTCTATTACATGAGTCAATGAGACCCAAAACTGTCAAGTACCAAAAGCTTTAATGGTCCATGACTTAAACTTCTAAAGAAAGATGATCACTTTATTCAATGAAGTGTACATTTAAGCTTTTATTCATTCTCAAATTAAATTAATTTCAACAAACCGAAACTGTGAAATGTCGATCTTGACCAAATGGCATCTTTTACATTATTTGTTGTAATCTTTCAAACAATATTTTGATTTAATGAGAAGCTAGATCTTCACGTTTGATTTCATCATCCAAAGTGATCGTCTTCTTTAAAAAGACACAAGATATTGGTTCAATTAAATGTTTTAATTTCACTCATATAGAGCCCCTATTATGGGTTTTTGAAAATGATCTTCTATGGAGTGTGTTACAGAGCTCTAAGGTAGTAAATTTTGAATCCCGCTCCCGCCAGGTTTTTAGTCCGAACCCGACCGCTCCCGCTTATATTCAGCATTTCTTGTCCTGCTGCTAGCCCCACCCCGTTTTCTACCCGCTAACGAGCAGGGAGAATACAAAACTGAGAACAGCCAAGCTATACAGAGTCCAGGCTATAACAAGCTGTCTATATAAACGCACACACACATAAGCACCAAGTAAGCGACACACACACAGACAGCATCATACTCTCTCTCATTCACACACACACAGACAGCACAAAGCTCTCTCATTAGCACACACAGATACATAGACATCAACAAACAAGCTAAATTCACACACATATAGGGAGCCTCGGGAGCCGGGAGCGACATTGTTAGACCGCCCGCTCCTGTCCTAAATTACACCAGTGTAGGAACTCATCGGCATTTTTCAGTGGTCAACACAAGTTGAATCTTAAATCTTGGGCATCTCCAATGGTCTCATTCATTGAACTAGCTTGAGGGCTTATACCATCAGGATAACAGAGCGCCAATTGATTTCGGCTCCTCTGACCAGTACTTCTATGCAGATGTTCTGGTACTGGTTCTGGCTAACTAGCCAATGATTAATTAAATCAGTTAAATAAAAAACAATGGCCCTTACAGGATCTTCAGCGGAAACCATTTCACGAGACTTTTAATTGACTCCTGGTCATGTGCTCGCCTTGGGCACATCCTGCTAGAAGCACAATTTCGTAGAGACAAAGAGATCTCTAGAAACATTAATGCATATGAATAAAAGCGAATCTCTTAATGTTAGAACTAAGGCAGATGTATCTTTGAATAATATGCCATAATGTTCCTCATATGCTGTTTATTCCAATCAACTAGGTTAATCAATGTGTTGTTTTAACCCTTATAACAGAGTAAAATAATCTGTATGTGTCTGAAATGTATGATGTCTGGTATTGAACGAAAGCTAGTGACATTTGCAATACGTTGGTGTAAATGAAAAACTAGTAGTACAAACAGTATTCATCTTGTAACGTTTGATGTAAGATAGTTTCAATCTTGCAAGAGTTCTACCACGTGAAATCTACATGCAGTCTGTTAATTAATGACCTTTCCTACGTCAGTACGGGGCGTGGCCCCACCCTTTATGGCAACTGCTCATTGGCAGACAGTGCCATGGGGACGAACCAGACCAGGTCACTTAAAAACACCCTGCGACAATGAAACTTTGCTTTTTGCATCAGCTAGCTTGCACATGCTTTTGCTCTCTGTCCCCTTTCGCCTGCCCGGACACCGCGCCGCCACACGATTGGGTCACCACGAACTTCCACGCAAACCTCTTAAGTTTCGGGACTCACGAAACTGCACAAACTTCCGCAAAACCGATTCTCAGCAGTCTGTCACCTCGGTAACCCAGGACAACAGCCATTCACGAGCGTGTGAATCCCAAAGATGTCATCGAAGCGAGAAACCACCCAATCAGGAGCACCGTGTTTCCCCAAGGCCAGCCGGTGAGGGAGATTCGACTTCAGCAAAAAGGGCGCAAGTAACACAAACTAATGTTGTCTCTTGCTGATCTTGTGCAGATTGAAATCTTTAAGCAGTTAAAGATAAGCCATATCTCTGCTTTTGTGGTTTCTCAGGTGTTATTCTAAGATCTTGCAAGAAGTATTAGAATTAATTTGGGACGTTGTCAACTCATTTTGCATCCTCTGAACTGCCTTTGTGTGTATGTGTGAATGTGTGTGTTTTGTTTGTTGTTTGCTTATCACGTAATTAGTTGCATTTATCGTAGTGTAGCTCAATAAATCTTTGTACTCATTTTGTAAGAAATGTGATCTTGTTTATGTGCTTCTAAGTCATTTCCTCGAGCTGTAGATCTTGTTACCTTGCTAAAAGTTAATCCAATACTGTGTTATGTTATTATCGTTGGCCACGTAAATAATATAAACAAGATTGGTAAGATACAATGTCTTCTATTTGCGGGACAAATGGTAGATAAAGTGTGAATCTTTTGATCTGATTCAATCTGACTCATTTGAGTCAAATCAATGAATCAAATCTTCAGGATCCGATTCATTGAAATGAGCTAATTAATCCCTGATCGATATTAAAACGTAGGTTGATCCCCTACACCAGTTACCGACGCGCTTTATCGGAAATTTATTCCCGCGCCGCAAGAAATCTAGTCGGGTCCCACAGCTCCCGTAGTACAGCCGCAGGAATGCAGACCTCTACTCTAAGGCTTAAATCTGAAAGTGCACTGTGTTTAAAACTATTGATTCATCTATAAAAGAGTCGACTCATAGTGGTTCCAATAAATCGCCGCGGTAATGAGTCTCTAGCCGTGCCGGCGTGGCATCGATTTGGAACTCAAGCCCCGCAACTTTGTTACACGCACAAACCTGGGATAAGTGTGATTAAAATGTTTGCCTCCTTGTTTTCTGTAGCCTGCAAATTATGTACTAAATTATGTTTTGTTACTTGTAATCGCTTGTACTGTATCTGGTTAACTCTTTATATTCTCATATCGCGTCAAAAGCCACGTTAAAAACACGATGTGTGCCGCTTTGTTTACAGATTTAAATGCTTTTGTGAGCTCACAATCTACTGCTGTTTGTCCCTGCTATGGCCACTTTCAGCCGTTCCTACACACTTGCGGCGGTTAAGTTTCTAAATAATTCTGCTTTTACCACTGTGTGCGCTAACACTGAATGTTTCTCACTGTTTTTCCTTATGATTAAGAATAGAGCTATATGCTGGTGTTAAACTGCATTGCTTTAATGCACTCCTGCATTGGGTTCACACATACACTCTGCACTCTGACTACTTGTTAATAAGCCTTGCTGGACATTTCTTTCTGTCTCAAGCTGAACGCAGTCGACCAATCACAACGTACTGGGTCATCAGAGATCAGCGCATATTAGCATCACGCTAAGGAGGGGTTTGAGAACAAATGAATTGCTGAACGTATCATATGGGGGTCGTTGGGATAATTAGGTAAATATAAATGCATATTATAAGATAATGTCGTTACAGACCCCCCCTTTAAAGCACAATAGGGGCTCTTTAAAGTTAACCTTTTTTTATTTATTTATTTTTCTAATTTTGGCTTCTACTGACCTATGTACAAATACAGCTGAAAAAATCTTCTCTAGATTTTGCACTGTCACACCAAATTGGAATGTCACAAGGACAGAATTTGGGAACTATAAGTATCACAGTGCTTACATTGACACTGCGTTTTCTGCTGTTCTACCACCAAAAAACAAGCAGAGCCCCAGATGCACACGATTGGCAAGACGGGGTGAGTACAGCAGGGGTGGGTCCTGACTGTGAAGGTAAAGGGCGTTGATGGATGCTGGATCTGTCCGCCTTGCCAGCTGGAAATCTGATGGCCCTGTGATCTCCTGCCACACAGAGTTAGCGTAAGGCCCCCGGAAAGCCATGATTAGCATTGGCTGATGAGTATGTTCCTCTCCATGCATAACTGACTTGTTGACTAGAAGAAAGGATATTTTTTAACCCATGCAAATTGTATAAATGCTGTATAGTTATAGTGGAAGATGATACCTGTAAAGTTTGTTAATAGCTCTTGGGGCGGATAGAGGAAACGGATACCACACACATCTAGGCCTGATTTGGAGACTAGATCAAGTGTGTGGTGCATTGCCAGTGGGTTAAAAAACAAGGTTCTGCCTATCAGAACAAGTGCTGTCTGAAAAGAAAAATAAATAATAAAGAAACCATAAAATGAGAACACATTTACTGTAAGATGCAAATACATTTGTCTTTTACCTCAGTATGACAGTGTTGAAAACTTGTAGCTTCTGTCCTTTTACACTTTTGGTCCCCTGTTTCCAGAGTTTGCCAGTAGAATCCTGGGATCACACTAAAGATCTCTTCAACAGCCTTTAAAAATAGATATAAAATGTTGCTAGCACATTTATTCAAAGTACTGTTGTGAGTGCATTTATTTTGTACTTAATAACAACAATTAGGTAATAATAGATACTAAAACCAAACATGAAACATTTAAACCTAATCTTAACCCATGTATTACCTTTTATTGCTCAGTGTTTTTTAGGTAAGTAAAGTGAAATGTTGTGCTACCAAAATGACTCAATAACAGTAAACATACTAAATAAAACAATACCTCTGGATTTGGGTTGACAGAGATGAAGCAGTCCAGGTAGGATGAAGGCAAGTGAACAAGTGCAGGATAAGGCTGTTTCTCCAGTAAATTATTAAGCTGAGGTACCCAGAACGCAACAGTCTTCAATGATGTCTGGGCAAAGAACTTGCAAACTCTTCTGTAAAATTTGTTCTCGTCCATTTCAGCCCCCCTCATCTATAAGAAAAATATAAGAATCCAGTATAAACTTCAACTTTAATCCTTAGTCCAAATTTATATTAGGTGACCTTAATAACTGGAATGTGTATTTAAATAGCACATTTTTTGGTGTAGGCCATAAACCCAAAGCACTGTACAATAAAGGGGGGGGGGTGGGTCTCTCCACACCACCACCAGTGTGCAGCATCCACTTAGATGATGCGACGGCAGCCACTGGACAACGGCGCCAGTGCGCTCACCACATGCCAGCTATTGGAGGAGTGGCGAGACGGTAATAGAGCCAATTCAGTGGACAGGGATGATTGGGAGGCCATGATTATAAGGGCCGGTTGAGGGACTTTGGCCAGGACACTAGGGTTATACTCCTACTCTTTACGAGAAGTGTCATGGGATTTTTAATGACCACAGAGAGTCCGGAACTCGGTTTAACATCTCATCTGAAAGAAATTATTATTATTATTTTTTTGGTGCAATGCACTTATTATGTACATTCATGCTTTTCAATTGTGACTTTATTCTTAAAAAATGTGTATATTTATTGCGTGTAATTACATCTATAATTACTTTCTGTAATTGCGTTTATAATTACACTGTTGAGCCATTCCTTACAGCTTATCTACAAGGTACTAACATCAAACATGTTCAATGTACTTATTGTGTTCATATTGCACTTCACAATATTTAAGGTGCTATTGAGGTGGGATACGGATAAGTTTGGGTAGGGTAAGACGTGTAAAAATGCAATCTGCAGAAAATGATAGGCTAAAAACAAAACAAAAAATGTGTCATTAAACCACTTAATTTGTTCACATTTATTTGTGTGTGTTTGCGTTTCATTTTCTGCAGATTACGTTCTTTCCCACTAGCTGAAATCATAAATAAATGATCCATACATTAATTAAACAAAGTTGTGTATTGAACTCACCTTCCTACTGCCAGTCGGACCACCCTCAAGAGATGCAGCACAAATGTACAAAACCAAGCTGTCTTCTATATACAATTGCTGCAGTCCAGCCACCCAGAAAGGGGCATCAAACGTATTGCCTTTTCCCATACAAGCCTTAGGATTGGTCTATCACAGAACAGGTAACCAAAATGTACATTAATTGGTAAAACACTTGCAAAGACTACAGTATTTCTGTAAAAAAAAGAAAAAAAACAAACACACCAAAGACATGAGCCATGCTATGAGTGCATTGTAAACATGCGATTTGATTAGGATTGAGTTGACGGTCTGAGTTTTCCGCTGCGTTCTTCCAGCCACCACGCCAGGACTGGACAAGGGCACAGTCAACAGCAAACAGTCCTTCGTGTGGAGCTCTGCAGGTAAGGCGTTCACAGAAGGAAGGTAGGATGCTTCCTAAGGGGAGAGAGTACAGCAGTGTTCACTCCAAAACTGAAAGCTGTCTCCTTTGTGTATGTTATACATCAACTGCTAGTTACTCACAGGGTCATAAAGAATATCAGTCCTCTCAGCCACGTCATCCCTGTTATTTGCCGAACGTTGAGGTCTGGATGTTTGCAAAAACTTGAGATCTTTCTCATATCTGATTTTATGATTGTGGTGATCTCTTTGCACATGGGGATAAATGTAAATATTATGTTGTGTTCATGTCTTAGGTTAAGAAATAAAAGTAAGATTATTACGTACCTTTGTTTGTTTCCAGCAACTGGAAAGTGAGAAGATTGAGAATTCTGTTTATGGTTATATTTTGGAGGCGAACAGCAGACATTGACCCGCTGAATACCTGGTTCACTACAGCAAGATTCAGAATCCTGAAGCTGGTTTTCTTTTATAGTTTTCCCTGAAGAGTTTCTCTGCCTAGCCTCAGCCAAACCTTGTGGATTTCTCAAGCTCACGGACATCTCTGACATACTTTGTTTTGACTGACTTGAGTTGTGCAGTAGTAATCGCTTTCCTGCGAATTCTCTAGAAATTTAGAAGAACATGAATTATAGCTGAATGCATGGTTGGTTTAAAAAAAAAAAGAGTGTACATTTAACTTTACGATCATGCTGTTGTATTTATTATCTGCAATACAATGGGTTATATGAACAGCTAGTGTTTTTAAGCCAATGATAAACTTCCAATGAAAGGTTAATGGGATTATTTTCAATTTCATGAGGTTTCTTTTACAGCATTGATGTTGTAATGTAATTAAATACAATCAGTAAAATAGACTGAAGCATTCATTAAGTTGTTCAGGCATAAAAGGAGATGAAAGACAGTGTAAAGGCTAGCGCAGAAACTCCATTAATAAATACTGGGGTAAAATAAATTTTCATAAAAACATGGCGGGGTAAAATGGAATTTAATGCAGTGATTCTTGCAGTCTGAGACCCACTTTAAATTGAATAGATACAGTCGAAATGAGAATTATTTGCCCCTTTTGAATTTTTTTTTATATTTCCCAAATTATGTTTAACAGAGCAAGTAAATTTTCACAGTATATGCTTGATAATATTTTTTTCTTATTTGTTTTATTTTGGCTAGAATAAAAGCAGTTTTTAATTTTTTTAAAAAACATTTAAGGTCAAAATTATTAGCCCCTTTAAGCTATACATTTTTATCGATAGTCTACAAAACAAACCATCTTTATACAATAACTTGCCTAATTACTCTAACTTGCCTAGTTAACCTAATTAACCTAGTTAAGCCTTTAAATGTCACTTTAAGCTGTATAGAAGTCTAAAAATATCTAGTAAAATATTATTTACTGTCATCATGGCAATGATAAAATAAATCAGTTATTAGAAATTAGTTATTAAAACTTTTATGATTCGATAAGTGCTAAAAATGTTCTCTCCATTAAACAGAAATTGGGAAAAAATAAACAGGGGGGTTATTATTTCGGGGGGGCTAATAATTCTGACTTTACCTGTATCAGGCAGTGAAGATCACTGATTTTTAAAGAAGTCGGATCTTAAACTTAACGACTTTGTAATAGAAAAACAGGCGGGTTGACAGAAAATTAAAAGTCTGTGCATATACCCCATTAATCCAACAGTATATTCATTCAAATGACTTTTTTTGTATTGTATTTTATTATAACAAGATCCTCAAAACATATACAAATTATAGAAGTTGTCATTTTATGTTAGGGTAGATATATTCCAAGCACAAGATTACCTTTTCTGTCCATTTGCTATTGGAATTGTGGTCTCTTTAGAGGAGATAATTTCCTTGTCCAGGTTTGTAGGACATATAGCACTGTCACTCTGGCTAACGTCTGACAGTGTTGTTTGAAATTCATTTGTGCGCAAATCAATATATATAGTGGGAGAATCGTCATTGAGTTGTAATTGTACTGAGCTCCTTTTAAAGTCCACCACGTCTCTCCCAGTTGCTCTAGAAAAGTCACAAACACATTTAATCTGCAGCACAAAAATCTGCAAACATGAGAAAATGCAGTTCCCCTTCGGGGGGAACTTCAGCACTATAAGTGGATTTGATTGTAAAATCCACGCATTGGGAGGTTCGGTTCAGAAGCTACTCGTCTGAAAGAGTATTGAACGGGCCAATTAAGAATGAATTGGCAGCGCAAGCCTGCGCAGGTGAGCGGCATAAGCAATCAACTGAGTATATAAGCTCACCTGGCGCAGCAGACGCTATCCTTTTCGCTTCAGAGACTTTCTGATCGAGTCGATGAGGGTTCCTCCTGCTGTGACCAGCGATTCTGAGCGAACGAGAGCATTCTCCCGGTCCAGAGTGTGTACACGCAGTGGCAGACGGTCGAGCTGGGTTTCTCCCTTGCCTGGCGTTCTTTGGGTCCGGTCCTCCAGAGCGGTGCGTATAAAGTTGCAAACTTCACAGAAAGAGCAACACAGTCGTGCAGCACGTCCTTATCAGGACGGCGCTCCGACTGTGCGTTTCTGGATGCGGTGGTTTCCTGTCCTCGGATGATGGGCGCGGGCACTGTGTTACATGTCTGGGGGTCCAGCATGTTAATGCGCTGCTCGCGGGCAGTTCATGTCGTCATTGCGATGCCATGACTGTTGCGCAAGATCGCGGTTAGCCTTTGCAAAAAGGCGAACCACCCCAGTTGTCCCCTGCTCTGCAGCGGGCACTCGGGCAGATCTGAGGGTTTCAGCGAGAGATAATCCGTCGCCCACGGGCCCGCGGACCTCCCGCTCCTCTAAGCGCTCCATCCAAGCTTCGGGCGGAGGAAGCGATCCGTCTAACAGATGGTAGCCCTTACGCCCGATGACACCGGAGACCAGATGTCCACCGCGGCATCGGAGGGTGGGCTTTCATTGTCCGATGATGATCCAGACCCGCTCGCCCCCTTCGGGCTGGTGAGCGCTGTCACTACGGATCCTGAAACGGACATGTTAGCCGTGCTTTCCCGGGCTGCTTCGGCCGTGGGTTGGAGATGGTTTATCCCCCAGCTCCGCGGCCGGACCGACTAGAGGGGCGTTCCCTTCTTCCCGGAGGTGCACAGTAGGCTCACGCGGTCTTGTAAAGCACTTTTTTCTGCTCGTGCTGCGTGTTCCTCCACCCTAACCACTCTTGACGGTGAAACAGCCAGGGGGTATGTGGCGATTCCTCAGGTTGAGTGCGCGATGGCGGTAAATCCGCGCGGCGCCTCTTCTTGGCGGGGTCCGCCTCGTCTCCCATCCAAAGCCTGTAAGTTATCTACCTCCCTCGGAGCTAGAGCTTACATAGCTGCGGGCCAGGCTGCTTCCGCCTTGCATGCGATAGCCACCTACCAGCGCTACCAAGCGCAGGCGCTGGCCGAGCTGCACGAGGGTGGGTCCAACCCAGGCTTACGAGCTTCGCACCGCCGCCGACTTAGCTCTTCGGACTACTGAGTCCGCTGCGTGTGCGTTGGGGAGGACGATGTCCACATTAGTGGTCCAGGAGCGCCACCCCTGGCTGATATGCGCAAAGTCGACAAAGTCCGCTTTCTTGACTTCCCCATATCCCCAGCCAGGTTCGGCGACACTGTCTGTGAATTCACCCAGGAATTCAAGGCGGTGAGAGAGCAGTTGGTGGGTGATGTCTTATCGGCGGTCCGTAGCCCGCTCCGCCCGCCGTGCCATTCATACCTGCTCCTCGCCGAAGGCGTCCGCCTACGAGAGCTGCTCCGCCCCCGCACACGCCTAAGGCGAAGCGAGCGCGTCGGGCACCTCGGAAGCAGGCAGCCCCCCTGCCCAGAACGCCGCTAAGTCCGGCAACGGACCGCGAAGCGCCCCTGGGACAGGCCATCTGGAGAAGAGGGAACTTGCTCTTTCCCCGCTGGAGGGCGGGGCCCCATTTCCAACGGCACTTTTTACTGCCATGAAAACATTATGAAAGGGCACTTTTCACTTCCCCAGATGTGACAGCCCGAAATCTGCCAGTCTGGGACGCTATGCTTTCTAGCTTGCAGATTCGGTGCGTTTCGCCAGTGGCTCACGAGCGCTGGGAGGACGGTCTCCTTTCTCCCACCCCTCGAGCCTCCCCTCCGGAGCTCGGGTTTGGAGTGAGAGCAAATATCCCACCTCCAGCTTTTCCGTGGGACCCGCGAGCTTCCCGGATCAGCACACCCACTCCGCGCTGCCCCACTGCTGGTACGTCAGCGATTGTAGCGATGAGTCCATTAGCGAGAGCTCTGCCTGCCTGGTTAGCGCGGGCCAGCTCTTCGCGGTGGCTCATACGCACAATCAGACTCGGCTATGCGATTCAGTTCGCGAAACGGCCCCCCAAGTCACGGGTGTGTATTCACCAGGGTCAGCCCCCTGTCCGCCCCTGTCTTGCGAGAGGAGATTGCTGTCCTCCTGGCGAAGGATGCAATCGAGCCGCTCCCTCCAGCCGAGATGGAGAGCGGGTTTTACAGCCCACGCTTCATCGTGCCCAAAAAGAGCGGTGGGTCACGGCCAATCCTAGATCTGCGCGTTTTGAACCGCTGCCTGCACAAGCTGCCGTTCAGAATGCTCACGCAGAAGCGCATCCTCCGGTGCGTTCGTCCTCTGGGTTGGTCTGCAGCATTAGACCTGATGGACGCGTATTTCCATGTCTCCACTCTTCCTCGCCACCGACAGTTTCTGCGGTTTGCGTTTGAAGGTCGAGCTTGGCAATACAAAGCCCTCCCCTTCGGGCTCTCTCTGTCTCCGCGGGTCCTCACCAAGCCCGCGGAGGGTGCCTCAGCGCCCCTTCGGCTCGCGGGCATCTGCATACTCAATTTCTTTACGACTGGCTGAATTGCCCTCTCTTTTGATTATGCACAGAGTTGATTATGCACAGAGACAAAGTGCTCTGGCACTTCCACCTGTGGGGGTTTCAGGTCAACCGAGAAAAGAGCAAACTCGCCCCCGTGCAGAGGATCTCTTCTCTCGGGCTGGAGCTGGACTCGGTCACCATGGCAGCGCGCCTCTCCGGAGAGCGCGCTCAGCTGATGCTGTACTGTCTGAGAGAGCTCGACAGTAAAATAGTGGTCCCACTGAAACAATTTCAGAGGCTCCTGGGGCATATGGCATCCGCAGCCGCTTCATGCCGCTCGGATTATTCTATATGAGACCACTTCAGCACTGGCTTCACGATCGAGTCCCCAGACGCGCATGGCACGCGCGCGCACACCGAGTCTCTGTTACTGCGCTGTGTCGCCGCGCCCTCAGCCCTTGGAGCGACCCCTCGTTCCTACAGGCCTGGGTGTCTCTAGAACAGGCGTCCAGTCTTGTTGTCGTTTCAGCAGACGCTTCCAACACGGGCTGGGGGGCTGTGCGTTGCGGGCATGCGGCTGCGGACCTGTGGAAAGGTACCCAGTTGCATTGGCATATCGCCTGGAGCTGTTGGCAGTGTTCCTCGCTCTCCACCGTTTTTTTCCGGTGTTGGAGCGGCAACACGTGCTGGTCAGGACGGACAGTACGGCGGCGGTGGCGTATATCAGCCGTATAGGGGGTATGCGCTCTCGCCGCATGTCTCAGCTCGCCCGCCGTCTGCTCCTCTGGAGTCATCCGCGGCTGAAATCGCTGCACGCCATTCATATTCAGGCAAGCTCAACCGTGCAGCCGATGCGCTCTCACGGCAGCCTTGCGTCCTGGAGCATGGAGACTCCACCCCGAGTCTGTTCAGCTGATATGGGCGCGATTCGGGGAAGCCCAGATCGATCTGTTGCTTCCCCCGAGATCGCTCATTGCCAGTTGTTCTTTCCCTGACCGAGTGCTCTCGGCACGGATGCACTGGCTTACAGCTGGCCTCGGGGCACGCGCAATACGCGTTTCCCCCAGTGAGCCTGCTCGCGCAGTTACTGTGCATGGTCAGGGAGGACGAGGAACAGGTTGCTGGTTGCGCCCCTCTGGCTCAACCGGACCTGGATGTCAGAGCTCTCCCTCGCGATAGCCCTCCCCTGGCAGTCCCTTCGAGAGAGCACCTACTCTCTCAGGGACAGGGCACCACCTGGCACCCTCGCCGATCTTTGAAGAGATTTTTAGACGCGAGGAAGACTTAGGTAACCTCCGATTGCGGTGGCTAATACCGTCACTCGGGCTAGAGCCCCCTCCCCGAGCGCGCCTATGCCCTGACGTGAAGTCTATTCACTGAATGGTGTGTCTCTCGCTGAGAAGACCCCCGTAATTTGCCAGATCAGCGTTGTGCTTTCTTTACGCCGAGAGAAGTTGGAGAGCAGGCTGTCGCCCTCCACACTCAAGGTTACGTGGCTGCCATCTCCGCTCTCATAACGCGGTGGCTGGCAGCACCGTGGGAACGCATAACCTCATCATCCGGTTCCTCAGGGGCGTTAAGCGAATTAATCCACCCCGCCCCCCTTCATGCCCTCTTAGGATCTCGCCCTCGCTACACAAGCCGCGTCAGATCCCTTCGATCCTCGACTCAGTATATTTCTGTCCCTGAAGACAGCTCTGCTGGTCGCGTTGATATCGATTAGAGGGTCGGGGACCCGGAGGCATTTTTCGGTCAGTGACTCGTGCCTGTAATTGGGCTGGCTTCTCTCACGTATGAGACCCCGCCCGCGATATGTGCCCAAGGTTCCTACCACTCCGTTTTAATACGAGGTAGTGAGCCTGCAAGCGCTGCCCTCGGAGGAGGCAGACCCAGCCCTTATTTATTGTCCAGTTCGCGTTTTGCGTATTATCCGGACCGCACTCAGAGTTTAGATCATCTGAGCAGCTCTTCGTCTGTTATAGCGGTCGGCAGCAGGGAAGTGCCGTACCGAAATAAGTTCCCACTAGATTGTGGATGCCTTTCTTTCACTATCAGAGCCGAGATGAGCCGCGTCCCCCGAGAGCGCGTGCGCACTCCACTCGGAGCTTCGCATCCTCTCGAGCGCGCGCACGCGGCGCCCCTCTAACAGACATCTGTAGAGCTGCGGGCTGGGTAACACCCAACACATTTGCAAGGTTTTACAATCTGCGAGTGGAGCCGGTTTCCTCAAGGGTATTAGGTAACCCTTGGTGATTGAGGAAACAACTCGGTAGGGTGTTGAAACACGCTTGCTGCGCCATTTTCCCTAACACGGAGATACGTGCGCCTTTTTATCTGTCAGTAAAGTTCCCCGTCAGGTGAGCCCTGCAGATTCCTCCGTGGCCCCCAGCACTGACTCAGCGGAGGAGTCACTTGCTGGCCCACTACGTTGTAGGTCTGCCCGCTGGTCAGCCCGCGTTTTGGGTAAAGGTGTCTGCTATGCGTGGTCCCCACTAGGCGATCCCATATGCTTATTCAGCCACGGTTAAGTCCCCCCCCCCCTGGGCGGACCCGTGTCTTCCCTCCCCGCTAACCACTCTTTTGCTATGCGTACTCCCCCTTTTTAGGGCTAGTCCATATGTAAATTCTGCCATCTATCCCCCCTTGGGTAACGGATGGCCTCCGCAGCGTCCTCCCTATCGGGATTGCACGCTTCCCAACGTACTGTCGTATTTCCTAGAATTATCTAGATGCTCACGACACCCCAAAAAATATATATAAATCCGTAAAACTTCTGTTGAAGTAGGATAAATTAGGGCCAGGGACACGTTGGAGGACCGCGCCCCCCATGATGTGGGTGCGTCACGCTTGCTTGACTATCTCCTCATCGGGGGTGTTGGTAAGGTGCAGTCATTATGGCGCTTTCAATGGGCTCCCAATGCGTGGATTTTACAATCAAATCCACTTATAGTGCTGAAGTTCCCCCCGAAGGGGAACGTTCGAGGTTACTAAAGTAACCCTTCGTTCCCCGAGGAGGGGAACGGAAGCACTATACTCCGTCGCCATAATGACTGTCCCTTAGCTGTTGAAAGTCTCTTCAGCTTAAAAAGGATAGCGTCTGCTGCGCCAGGTGAGCTTATATACTCAGTTGATTGCTTATGCCGCTCACCTGCGCAGGCTTGCGCTGCCAATTCATTCTTAATTGGCCCGTTCAATACTCTTTCAGACGAGTAGCTTCTGAACCGAACCTCCCAATGCGTGGATTTTACAATCAAATCCACTTATAGTGCTTCCGTTCCCCTCCTCGGGGAACGAAGGGTTACTTTAGTAACCTCGAACGTTCTGTTTAGATTTTTTTAATTATTTTGAAATATGTCTCACAGCAAGGCTGTGTTTAGTTGATCAAAAATACAGTAATAGTTAAAATAGCAATACTTTTGTAGATATGCGAGCAATTTAATCTACGTAATAAACCTTAAAATGTGATGTCTGTCATCCAATCATTGTTGAATAACAAACAGTGTAATGAACTTCAGAAATCATTCTAATATTCTGAATTGCTAAAAAGGAAAAATGTCTTAGCATTGTCAATAAAGAAAAAATTAAAACAATATTTGATTAGGATTTTTGAAGACTTTGAAAGCATTTATTTGAAACAGTTTTGGGTCAATTCAGTGCATGCCTGCTCAATAAATGTGCTAATTTCTTTAAAAAAAAACACTGACCCCAAATTTGTAAGTGTAATTTACTGCCGTAACAACAAATTAGATAATTTGACTGTACCTGAGAGATAATTCTTGTGTATTATCAGATTTGGCAGGTTTTATTTCCGTTTCATTTACTTTCCTCTCACAAAAAGCAACCAGCTGCTCCATTAAATCATTTTCATGCATTTCCCTTTCATTGTCTATAAAAAAGAAAAGATCATTTTGTGTTATTCTGAAATGTAGCGTAAATGTTAATGGATAAAACAGTGGCTGCAATCCAACCTTTTAGTATATCAGCCTGAATTGGCTTGACAAGAGGTTTATGTTGCTTTAGAGTCTGAAGGACGTGGTCGAGATCCCAGGTATCAAGAGGCTGTTGAAATAATAATTTGTTACATAGGCCTTTATTTAGTATCCCTTGGCTGAAAATGTGATTAAATACATCCTAACTTACTGCCAGTGACAAAAAAGAACAGAGCTGGTTTTCAGTCAATTGTGTCTTGTTTGCTGAAGGATTGCTTTCTGTTTTATGTTTCACTCTTTCATTAATAGGTCTTTCTGTATTGTGACCCATTGGAAGCAGATGATTATAATCACCTTTTTGGTCATCAGCAGTCCAAGAAGGCAAAAACTGCAACAGATTTGAGTAAATATTTTGTCAAAGACAATGTGATCTGATAAATTATTATATTTTCTCGCACCAACACAAACACACACCTTGACTTCTGACTTTTCTAAACTGGTCCCTTCCAGAGAGTGACTCACTGGTGGATGCTGATGAAGAATAGACATGTCTTCTTCGGTGTCAGACTGTAGTGTAAAATGTGAAGTTCAGTGCGTTTCTGTTAGTACACCAATACCATTAGCAAAACATCAATATGATTGTGATGAAATTAATAGTGAAAAAGAGGCTACAATTCACATGGACCCTCACTCGACGCTCCTTTATTTGAAAAAAAATGGCCATGGTTATATATAACGTTAATAAATAATTAAAAACACCTGTTAATCTGATCAACTTTCAAAAGCAAAAGCTCTAAAGGATAACATTTTCATTAAAAAAAATATTATCAAACCAAGGCTAATCTAATTCCATTACGTTTGTTTTATTTTATTTAATGTTCGTTAGTTTTGATAAGGTTTTATCAATCGATCATCCCGTTTGATACGACGACAGAAGACACTAGTGAAATATTATCTTCAGAGAACAACTTACTGATGACAGGTCAGAGTCAAGGGTTGGTATCTTGGATATAATGTCGACTAAAGTCCTCTGCATGTCTGAAGGTGGGTGTCTTTTCTCTTCAAAATGCTGTAGTAAACAGGTGGCCGGTGTTCACTCTGAAAGTTGGAACGCGGTTCTCACGACTCCGGCAAACAGAAACTGTAGTTGACATGGCGACCACATACGCCGTAGACACGCTTTGTTGACACTGCGGTTGGCTTCTCTGTCACAGTTTGACGCGACATTTGCTAGTTAACATAAAAGTTGTTTTTGTAATGATATAAACGAGTAAAAATAAATAGGCTGTGTATTACTTAATGTTAATATGGAGGAAACAATAGTATTACTGTGTAAAAATTAATAGGCTATACATTATCTTTTATGTTATGAAGAAAACAATGTTAACCTTTACGAAGTTAGCCAAGTTCATAGTAAACTAACGTTATAGTAATTGTAACAATAATATATAACAATAATAATTTCCTGGTTTAACCTCCAAACCTCAGAAAGCTTGAGGTGGTAAATTAACATTTTGTGTGTATTTTCCAATAGTCTGGACACATGAAAATAAATCATGGTTTAATGGCAAAAATCTAGCAATGCATATCTTAATTATTTATATGTGTGGCAAAACCATTTAATCTTCATATAAGAGTTTAGATACAAAACCTAAATGCCATCGAAAATTCAATCGAAAAGAAGCAGACCCCTTTATTTCAAGCTATAAAGACCATGAAAAGGCTGTATTCTTTGCCATGAAAGTTAAATTATTGAACACGCACAGGAGCATGATGCTCAACATCTGAATTCTTCATTCATTTATTTTTTTTACTTAATTTAATTAATTAATTTTATTTATTTTGTAGTATGGCTAAATTATTGCTTTGTTCATAACATTATTTCAATAATTATTTTATTTTCCCCTATAGACATTCTGTCGATTAAGTAAATTTTCATCTAGACAATTAACAGTATCTTTAAACCAGTATGTGGTTCCCAAAGTGGGGGTCACGGGACAATGACAAGGAGTTGCTTGGTGATTTCCAAAAATCAAATAAATTTCATTAAACTATTAGAATTACCATATTTTAACCACAACCCACATACGATAAAAAATAGTAGTTTTTAATAAAAAAGAAAACAACAACAACATGCAAGTAAAAAGCCATCAGCCTTTAAATTGTTATTATTTTTCATAGGATTGGTGTTTTTACAGATTGATTTTATAGCACCAGGTTAAACCTTTATGGCAATCAGTTACATTAAAAAAAATACAAGCCACAGCTAAATACTGAGAATGATTTCTGAGTGGTGGTCTCCAAAATTAAACCAAGAATAGACATTGTGTCCACAGGTCTCTTAAGTTGAGGATAATATTAAATCAAACAAATTTGCACTATTTGTGTTGTCAGTATGCTTGTGTTTATGTTGGCCTATTGTATGAGCAACGTTTGTTTATTTATAACCACCTCTGAGGAATTGGGGGGTCGCGAGTCACTTGTATTGTTATTTTAGGGGTTGCAAGCTGAAAAGTTTGGGAACTCCTGCTCTAGACTACCTGCTTAATGCTAACAGTGTATTTTGATACTCCATAAACTAACATTTTACTAATAAGTAACTTTGTGTGTCAATAACCTTAACCCTGACCTCTAAAGGCTTGTACTAATGAGACTTAGCAGACATATAGTTGCATTAGTCAACAAACTACCTAAAGGGGACAAATAAACAAACAAACGAAACAAATCTAAACTTCATCAGAATTGCAACATTCCACAGGAAATACAATTTAAAATGAAATGTAAATATTATGTTGATTTACATTTACTTTCAATCCATTGTTGTTCTTACTTGCTTTATTAGTGGTCAGAAGTGTTGCTCAGCAGGTCTTTGGACTTGGAACATGGATCAGTATTATGTACATATCTCCATATTTGGGTTTGGTTTATCGGAATGAACATTTGCTCAATGTCCCTTTTTGTGTTTATGCAAAGACCATAAACAAACAATTTGTTTGATTTTGAAGGATGAGGCAGAGATTCTCAAAAAAGTATTTTAGGGATAATACTTTCAGTACATTTCTCAGATGTTTGATGTTTTACATTTTGTGACTTAGTGTAACCACTTAATTCTTTTTAGTCACATGAAAAAAAAAGTAATTTTAAAAATATATATTTTACATGTCACATTTTACAGTCTAACATTTGTTCAGTAGCATTTATTCTAATTTACTTCAGCATATCAAAACAATCTCTCAAACAGCACTGTTATTTTTCATTCATTCATTCATTCATTTTCTTTCCCGCTTAGTCCCTTTATCAATCAGGGGTCGCAACAGTGGAATGAACCGCCAACTTATCCAGCAAGTTTTTACGCAGTGGATGCCCTTCCAGCCGCAACCCATCTCTGGGAAACATCCACACACACATTTACACTCATACACTACGGACAATTTAGCTTACCCAATTCACCTGTACCGCATGTCTTTGGACTGTGGGGGGAACCGGAGCACCCAGAGGAAACCCACGCAAATGCAGAGAGAACATGCAAACTCCACACAGAAACGCCAACTGAGCCGAGGCTCGAACCAGCGACCTTCTTGCTTTGAGGCGACAGCACTACATACTGAACCACTACTTCACCCCACTGTTATTTTTATGTGACTTAAAACAACAACTTATCCTGCTTCTTTTTAAAAGAACATATTTACAAAAGTAATCAGTGATGTAGTTAGAAGACTTCGTTTGTAGATTTAACAGTCCCTAAAATGTTCAGCTGCAATATTCCGCAGATCAAGTCCAGAAGCACTAGATGGGCTAGCGCATGTGACATTATTGTATACCGTGATAAGCGTATGAGGCTCCTCACCTTCCCCAAGCATTTCAACCTGCAATGGCACCACCTGTGGCTTCTGTAGAATGAAATCTCGAAATGGTTTTGCACTACAGTCACATTTCCAGTTGTTACCAGAAAGCCAGAGCTGGTCCAAGCTCTCAGGTATAGACACTGGGAGGTTGACCAGTATATTGTCTTTCAGGTTCAAATATCGCAAACGTGGCAGCATGTATATCGTTGCATTAAGTATGAGCTCCAGCTTGTTTCCAGAGAGATCCAGCCAGGACAGGTGTTGCAGGGGTAATAAGGCCTCAGCAGGAAGATTGTGCAGTAAATTGCCAGACAGCAGCAGGTAATCAAGGTTCTTCAGGCCATAAAATGTGTTGGAGGTGATGGTTGTTAACTTGTTGAACCTCAGATCAAGCTGTTGCAGCCTTTGTAGCTCCACAAAACTCTGACGCTCCACTAGAGAGATGTTATTGTGTTGCAGGAAAAGGCGACGAAGACCTGTTAGACCACTGAAACTCTGGGATGAGACTTTTGTTAGACAGCTTCTATCAAGGTGAATACTGTGGAGCTTTGACAGACCCTTGAAAACTTGATCCGGCAGGCTGTGGAAACAGCTGCCAGTGAGTTTCATCACAGCAAGATGATTAAGGCCCATAAATGTGCCCATGCGTGCCTCTTGTAGCCGGTTGTTCTCCAAGTTCAGCACCTCTAGATGACCCAGCCCCTCAAAAACTCTCACCCCCAAGGCTCGAATCTGGTTGTGGTAAAGGCAGAGCTCTTCTAGATACTGCAAGTCACGGAAGGTCCCAGGTCTTAGGCTGTTAATCGAGTTGTTTGAGAGGCGAAGAACATGTAAGCTTTGTAGACCGATGAAAGTTTCATCATGAAGTACGGTTAGGCGATTTCTGCTGAGGTCTAACCATCTTAAAGATTTCATGCCCACAAATGCTCTAGGTGCCACAGTCACAATCTGGTTTTGCCCCAGATAAAGCTTCTGCAGCTTGGGTAGTTTCAGAAACACATTTGCCTTGATGACTTTAAGATAGTTCCCAGTTAGGTCCAGTTCTTTTAGCTCATTCAGACCTTGAAATAGCTGTGGTTGGAGGTACGCCAGACGATTCCCGGCAAGAATTAACTCTCGTAATCCATGTAGGTCCTGAAAGCCTGTCTCTGGCAGCACTGAAAGCAAATTCCACCCCAGGTTCAACAACCACATGTGGCTCATTCCAGCAAACAACCTGTCATCTATTCGAAACATCTGGTTATTGTTGAGACTAAGGGTCGCAAGGTTTGATGTGCCCTGAAAGACCAAGCCAGATAACGAACGGAGATTGTTCCTCTCAAGGTGCAAGTGGGCAAGGGAATTCAGACCTCTGAAGGCATGGGCATCAAGGGATACCAACAGGCTGCTTTGTAGGTTCAGGAACTCCAGATTGGTCAGCTTTTCAAAAGCACCCGCTGGCAAGTTGCTGAACAAATTTCCATCGAGCCACAGGGAGCGTGTAGACAAAGGGATATCAGAGGGAACCTGGGTGAAGTTACGTGTACTGCAGTAGACATTAAGCTCCAGGCTGTAGTCATCTTGAAGACAGGTACATCCCTTTGCGCAGGGCTCACTTTTTTGGCCAGTGGGTTCCTCAGAGGGCTTTGGATCTCCTGAGAGCCTGGGTTGGTCTGAAGGTTTTGATTCGGGGTTCGCCAGCACTACTGATGTGCCCAGTGTGTGCAACAATAGCAGTACAAAGGGGCTCATCCCAACTACGAGAGAATAATTAAAATTTTAGCATTACTTTAACAAAGCACTTTCAGTTTTAACACATTCAAATGTCAAAGTACTATATCACTTTTTACATTGGAGCCTGAACATCACTGGAAAAAAAACAACAGATTTGATTAATTTCAAATGTGAAATTTTGCATTGGTTGTACCGTTTGATTGTGGCAGCAGTCCAGCAGGCGTTCACTAAAAGAGTGGCATGTGTGTAACAGATCTGAACCACCTCTCCCTCTATATATCACCTAGAAAAAGGACAAACAGTGCTCTGCACACAGAATTAACCTCTTCATTTCTGCTGTTTTCATTTTCAGTTTCTTGTGCAGTTTCAGCACATCAATATAACAAATGAATTACAGCAAAAACTTATTTACAGTTACTATTATTTTTCCATTAATAAATATTTATTGAGAGTCATAATATAAATATGCGTTAACAAATTTTTAGTAAAATAAGCATGTTATAGGAGATGTTAAACTTTTTGATTATAATAATAAAATTTGTAAATAATTAGCACTGCAATTTGATTGTCAATGTATTTTCAGAGAATTTACTAGCAAATACTCCCACTCATTTTAGACGAAAATCCTTTGACTT